GAGTAGGTAAGCAGAGGGTATCCACACCTCTTTCAGAGCCTGGAAACGGATTGGCAATGGCAAAGCTGCCTCAATAAACCTAACACAAAAGAAGCCACCATCCACAGTCACCATGGTGAGATGCACTCGACTGGCGAATATGATCTGCTGCATCTAATCAGACCTGATCAGTAACCGCTGATGGGTGCTTCAGAGGAAAATGACAACCCCCTCTCTGGCAGTGCTCCAAACTGGGGGGAAATTCTTCCTTGGGTCCCACAGGTGATCAGCTTCCAGTGTGAGGGTGGAGATGTGACTGCTCTTCTCTCATGGATAAGCAATGGGAATCACCCAGGCGCCAGGGTGGGACAAATGGATGGGAGAACAGGAACCTCCCCAGAACCTTCTCCCCAAATGGGGACGAGGCTGCACTGGCTCTGTCTTCAGATAGGGAAGATGTTGGTTGACTTCCCTCCCTCTTTTCCACGCAGCTGCTACTGTCACAGGTTCTAATTTCAGCCAGAAATGGGAGCAGAGACAAAGCAGAAATGGCTGCCCTGGTTGTCTTTCTAACCTATTACACCCCGGATGTCCAAAATCCTAACATGGCTAACTAGCTCTCTCAAAATCCCATTGAGATGATTGTTCCCAGGACACTTTGAGACCAAAGGAAAACAGAGAAATCCACAGAAACATTCAAACCTGAAAGGTAGGTGAGCTGAACCTTCAAGTCTTCAGAGTTTCACTCTTCACCAGCACTGCACTACAGTACTAGTGAGATGCAGGAGGACACAGGATGTTTCTTACACTGTTAAGCATTTCTTCAAGAAAGAAAAAGTCTCTGGTGTTTTATGTATCTCTGTCTATTCTTTTCCAAAGCTCTGCCCAAACCAAAATCCCAGTGATGCTATGAACTGCAAGCTGTAGGAAGCATCCTTGATGGTACAACTAAATAAACACAGGCAAGCTGGTGATTGGGAGGCCTGCCGCCAAGGCACATTTGCACAGTCTTTTTTAGACATGCTGCAGTTCCAGAATTAGCCCGCTCTCCTCTGGGAGGCCAGAGTGACTGGCACTCAGAGCCAACTGCCCAGGGGATACCAACATGAGATGCATTTTCCGCCTGGTTAAGCATCATCATACAGCTGTGTTGCAGTATCCTCTGTGGCTTTCCAATCCTATCAGCCATGCTGGGGAGGGAGCAAAAAGCCCAATCCAAAGCAAAACAAACCCCAGGTTCCCAACAACAGTGAAGTTCCCTCCTGCTGTGAGCCTGCCTGATACTCTTCCCATACAGCCACGAGGGGAGAGAAATGAAGGTGTCCTCAGTTAAGAGAGAAACCAATGAGTTATCATAGGGATGTAGGATTTCTGTGCCGCTAAGCTCAGGCTCCTGCCATTGCAGCAACCAGTACACATAATCCCTTCTGTGATCTTTTAAATGTAGAAACTTATCCATATTAAAGCTAGTGATACATTTGCCCCTGCTACTTCTGTTCTGCATCTCACCATGACCAGATGTAAAGTTATTCTGCCTGTACCACCAACCTGTAAGTTTCTGGCCCTGAAAAGGACAAGGAGGAGCCTGGCAGTGTCTTTGGTGCTTACTACCAGAGAATTGTGAGATGCTCAACAAATGCCAGGCAAAGCAGCATCAGTCTCCTCCTGCTATCGGTACTCAGGCCAAGGCACACAAAGTTTAAATGACCTGCCTAGGGTCACACAGTGAATGTGTGGGAGAGCTGTGGAGAGGTGTCCCAATCACTGCAACCTTTCTGCTCCTGACAGAGGGATCTCTCAGATTTGACAAACCTCATGAGAACCTTGCACCAGAAAAACCGGCCAGCAGCCCTCCCCTTGACCGAGCGAGCCACATTTGCCACCTTCATTTTAGGTCAACAGGACCGCGTACCTGTGCATTTTATCTCCTGCGAGCCTGCTGCATACGTCAGTGGTGATAACTAACAGTAAGGAGACTCACCTCCTTCTGAGCTTAGCAATCTGGGTTCAGTCCCACTGCCTGACCAGTAGATGCTTTCTAAAAAGTAGTTTTACAAGTGAGGGCGAACACATGCTGTCAGTTAGGCACACAACTGCACTTACTTTAAGCCAGGGCATTAGGAACTCTGCCTGCCCTAAGCCCTATGGTACAGACAGACAATCAAACTCCCACACTCATAGGTAAGAGCAGCTTGCACTGGATTCATGCTTGGTTCCAGCACGAGCAGCAAGAAGGCCGGCGGCAGTTTCAAGGCTGGGGCAGCTCCACAATGAGCATCCCTGTGTCTAAGCTCTGTCTGCCACACTTTTGCCTGTTAGCTACAGACAAAGGCTGGGGAGTGGAGGGAAAAAGGCCTGCAGAGGAGGGAAAAGTACAGATGGGGAGGGGACTGTTAAGCCAGTGAGGAGGGAAACTGCCCATCTGAGGAGGGAGATTTTCCAAAGGGCCACAAGCTCAGAGCACTGGTTTGTTTGCTGAATGTTAAAGCAAGGAAGTTCCCTTGAGACTAGCCCTGTTTCGAAGGGGGCTGAATTCACAAGTCGCTAATAATAACACCCAGCAAAGGTAGAGGCAGACAGATGGAGTGCAGAGTTTTAATCTGGACAAGTCAGATGGAGTCCATGTGTGTTTCATCAAAAATAAAACTGCTTTACCAGCACCCTGGCAAGGGCAGGCAGGAGCACCAAGCCTGCTCAACCGGTGACAAAACCCAGACTTGGAGAGGCAAAGTGACCTGGTTCCAAATATGCAAATAATCATGATAAAGGCAGGCACAGGGGCTTTTGCTCTCCTCCCTTCCCACAGACTAGACCAGGAGGGGAGGAAGAGTAGGAAGAAAATGACTACCATGTCTGGAACTGGCTGTGTGTGTGCACATGCATGTGAAGATGTGTTGTCTTTGTCATCATGTGTTTGTGGAGTAAGGGGCAGAGCTTTCTTGTTCAATAAGACAGGGGAACTTGTAATGTGTTCCAGGCTGAGCCATGACATTCTGATTGGGGTCGTTGTCCCTCTAGAGCTCCCAGCCAACAGAAAGCAGCATGTGCTCAACACTAAACCGCTGTGAAGCATGAGCAGTAACCTCCACACTAGTTCTTGCACTAGCCTCCATGACTGCAAGCATGGCACCATGTCTGAGCCCATTTTGCTTCAATTCTCTGCAGAATCAAAAGATCAGCAGAGAGTGTACAGGATAAGAGTTGTGCAAAAACGTTCATATCCAAGTGACAGATCTGGGCTCTAGAATGAAGAGCCAGTGCCCAGATCACACAGTGCTTCAGGAACTCAGAAACCTGGACTATTTAGCCTGGGTATCTGCTTTATCTCATGAGATGTAGATAAGCAGCCACCTGAAAAAGTCTGAGTTTCTCCAGCAAAACCGATATCAATGCTGGTTGTTTACATCCTAGGCAAGGTTTGCAATGATAGCCATTCTGCATAAAAGTGGAGAAACCTATATTTAACTATCCCTGCTTAATACAACTTGCTCAAATTTGGACTGCACAGTCCTAGTCCTGGCCCCCCTGGCTATCTGTATGTGGCAGTGAGCACCTGCTTCCCTGAGGCCCTCCCTGCCAGCTGTTTGAAAGTAGCCACTCTCCAGTAAAGCTTTTTCTTCCTCTCCAGGTCTCTCAGCTTCTCCATTTTGTCTCTACTCCCAAATCTTTCCAGGCTCTGCCCTGGCTCCACTTCCACCCCCTACTGGAGAATGTACCTTTCTCACTATCACATTGTCTCTCTGCTCCAGGGGCCTGCCTTGCCCCTTCTGCAGTTGGCTTGGCTCAGATGCCAGGAAGTCCTTTTCCCTGACAGTATAATTCCTGCTTGCCATGCAGGAGACCTGGGTTCAATTCCCAGCCAGTGCAGCTTCTCTATGTGTTCAGTTGGGGTCCTACATGTCAAGATTGCTGTGTTATTGGACCTTGTTTCACACATGTTTTCTAGACATCAGGAGGCACTACTTCACAGTCAGGGCGGCTAGGATCTGGAACCAACTTCTGAGGGAAGTGGTGCTCACTCCTACCCTGGGGGTCTTCAGAAGGAGGCTAGATAAGCACCTTGCCGGGGACATTTGACCCCAGTACTCTTCCCTGCCATGGTGGGGGTTCGGACTTGATGATCCGCTCAGGTCCCTTCTGACCCTACCAACTATGAAACAAAAATACGCCAGTGTCATAATCAGGTGAAATGCTGAACTGCAGTGAGACAATGATACCATGTGGGGTAAATCCTTGATGTTCTTGGGGACAAATTCTGCTCACAACTATGCATACAGGGGAGAGCTTTACTCTAGAAGCAATGGTCTTGGGGCTGCAATCGAAATCCTACTTTCAGTGAAGGTGGTAGAATCTGAGCTATGTGGCCTTTGCTACTTCCTTGTGTAGCTGGGGTGATGACTGACAGCAGCTCATGGGGACAGAGACGTAGTGTGTTCTGAATTTCCTGTGTATTGGTTCTGAGCCTGATCCTAAAATGCTGTGTAAGTTTTGTTGCCTCAGAACTATTCAGAATCACTTCCTTTACTTGTATGCAGATAACACAGCAAAACTTTGCTTAGGGTACATTTTTCTTCCAGTACTCAGAAAAACCTAGGAATTAAAAACCACTTGTTCCCCTACTGAAGATAATCAGGGTCTTTTTGGCAAAGGGGATTCAGGCTGAGGCCCTGATGCTGCAATGCAGGGCATCCCAGTAGTTCCCTGTGCCAGCTGCAGGAATGTTCATTCATTTCTGTGGGGCTTTTCATGGACATAAAGGTTTGCCCTGACACAACACAGAAAAGGACTCTGAGGATGGCTCACTACAGTGCTACAGGGGAAACAAGAGTCATCGACCATACTGGTACAAGGGCAATACAGCATGTTAGTAACTGCACGGAGCAAGCAAACACAGAAATTAGAACTGAACTTTTTGTTCCACTCTCAAGTATCTAATTCATGGAGCCACTGCTATGGGGGCACGAGAAACAACTCCAGTTAAAATAGGTCCTCTTCCTGTCCCCCACCTGCCTTCTCAGGCTTTTGTATTTAGTGCCTTGCTCCCATTCAGAAACCTGTTACGTACGGGAGGCTAACACTGCCAGGTTTGGCTGAGTAGAAGAATGGGTGCAGTCCTGCACTGAGTACCTAAATTTACAAGTTTCAAACTAGAACCACTGTCATCCATGGGGAAGACCCAGGCTTTACATTCTATCATCATAGGAATATAGAAAAGAAGAGCTGGAATGGACCTCACAAGGTGATCTAGTCCAGCCCCCCGCTCAAGGCAGGATCATCCCTGACTAAACCATCCCAGCCAACTGTCTGCACAACCTGCTTTGGAAAGTTTGTAAGCATGGAGAATCTACAAGGTATCTAGCTAGTCTGTTCCAATGCCTTACTACTCTAATAGTCAGAAAGTTCCTCCTACTCTCCAGCCTAAACTTCCCCTGCTGTAGCCTGAGGCCATTGCTCCTAGTCCTGTCCCCTACCGCCACGGGAAAAAAGCTTATTTCGATTTTTTCTATAATCACCCTTCGGGTATCTGAAAATTGTTATCAAATCCCACTCAGTCTTCTTCTCCAGGCTAAATAACCCTAGTTCTTTCAGCTGTTCTTCAAATGCTTGCCTCCCAGACCCCTAATATTTTTTGTTGCCCTGCACTGGACTCTTTCCAAACTGTCCACATCTTTTTTAAAGCATGGGGCCCAAAACTGGGCACAGTACTCCAGGTGAGGCCTTACGAGTGCTGAATAGAGCAGAACTATCATTTTCCTTGATTAGCAAATGACATACAACCCAGGACGCTGTTGGGTTTTTTTGCAACAAGGGTATACTGTTGGCTCATTCAGCGTATGGTCCACCATAAGCCCCCAGTTCTTCTCTGCAATACTGCAACCAAGCCAGTCATTCCCCAGTCTGATCTGGCAACTGACCAAATGCACAGGCACAATGCAGTACAGCTGATGTGGAGGCGCCCTGCTTATTCAGAGCTGGTTACCAAACACTCACCAGGTGGTAACAGCATTTGGCCAGAGCTGATTGTGTCTGACCTATGAGCCAGTAACTGAAAGGTTTTGTGTTCAATTCCCAGCCCCCCTGGAGAGAAGCTACCCATGTTTAACATAATTCCTTCTTCCAGAAACTGAGCACACTCACCATGACCGACTCATTCGTGTTTCTCAATTGGAAGACGTCCATTGTGACTTCAGTGTGGTTGGAGACTTCGCTGCTCCCTGAATGACTGGATGGGGGGAGATCAAAGTAGGTGCTGTCTGGTTCCCTGAGAAAAGGAAACAAGATATCTTCAGCACCCCAGTTCACCAACACCTCCTTCATCATGCCCACCCAAGAGCTTGGGTTTCTCTGGAACCCTGGCCCCTTCCAGCCTTTCATTTTCACAAGAAAAGGCTACCCAGTGCAGCACATTTTGCTCAAACTGCCTTTTCTGATGGGCCAGCAAAAGAGGTTTGCAGAGACACAGAGAACTGGGATGCAGTTTTTTACCTGGTGCCAATGGCTTAGCCAGACAGGGCATTTCCTGAGATGACTTTGAGGAGTATTGTGGCAAGGATTAAATGAAACTTTGTGCCTTGTAGGACCAGGGTGCAATCCTATCCCTGGATCTATGGTGGCACAGCTCCACCAGAGCTGCACCCAGGACCCATAGGTGGGGCTATGAATGAAAAAAATGTAGCCTAGGACTCTGTTCCATGGGACTGGATTGGAGGGTTGCAAGTGTCCTGGGGGCCCTGCAAGTCTCCCTGCACTTCCCTTAGGAATTCCTGGTAAGGCCTCAAGGGTCTCTTGTGGAAGGAGGAGTACCATAGAGAACATGGAGAGGAATCACAGGGAAACAAGGCTAGAAGGGACCTAAGGAAACCATCTGGTCTTGCCCCCTGCTCCAGGCAGGAATACTGACAAAACCATCCCAGGCAAGTGTGTGCTCAACTTGCATTAAACATGATCTCCATGCTGCATGAGAGGGGGCAGTCTTTGGTGGAAACAGGCACATTATACACAGTCAAGCCAGCTAGAACAATCTCAAGTGGCCTATTGTTACTTCCATTGACAGGACTGTCTCAACCAGTCCTGCTCTAATTTTCTGCCATTTCTAGTAGGCAACTCTGTGGCATATGGCATGAGTGAGAAGTTAAAAAAAACCCATACAGGGTTAAAGCAGGCTGATCAGGCCTTATCCAACAACTCAGAGGAGTGAGGCAGGCTCCAATTTGACTGCTTCTAGCTCAGCAGACTAGACCTTCCTTTGGTATCTCATCTTCTACTGTCTCCTGAGCACTTCCTGGTAGCCCTCTCAGAACAGTAACACCCACATGAGCAAGAGGAAATGTGCCTAGGGTTGACCTTTGCTGAGCAAACAGGAGACCAAATGATCTCTGTGCTCCAGGATCCTCTTGCAGCATTTTGCAGTTTTTTGCACGTGCAGTTTTTTGCATTAGCATTTGGGGAGAGGGAGGCAGTTTTTCAGAAGCAGCTGCTGAAGCTGGAGGCAGAACTTCAGTGCCCAGATTTTTGCATTTGCGATTTATAGCCCTGGGGGTATTGGGAGGTATTCCCCACACATGCTCTCATGTTTTTGGCCGTGCATCAAGGCAGATAGTGCAGGTAAAATGCATCTGAGAAGACATGCCTGAGCTTTTCTTTTTTTGCAAGCACAAATGTGGCTGAAAAAGGCAGGTGAGAGAACCTGAGTGTGCAAAACTGGGCTTGCAGTGTAAGAGATGGAGTGCAGGAATCTAAACAAATGGGTTTTCCCAAACCCTACTCAGTGAAAGAAGTTACTATCCTGCAACAATAAGGGGATGATTCTTCTTTCCCCAGGAGTTCTTAGTACAGATGGTCAAGTAACACTTACAGTGTGCTCCAGAGATGTTCAAATGTTGTTCCTTCATCAGCTGGGGAAGCCTGGGACATTTTCGTGACAGGAGAGTCTAACAAAGGATAAATTGCTCTAGGACCAAAAGAAAAACAGCCTTATTAGTGTAGCCACAGTGCTCCTGGTAAGGAGATTTATATGGTGTATTTGTACAGCATCTTCCATCCAGCAGGTTCTCTTTGCAGCCTGCACAATCCAATCCTTGTGCATGCAAGAGGATAGTATCGGCTCTCTTTCTGTTTCTTGGAAATGCACTCATGTGCAGCAAACTCAGCCACAGCTAAACTCAGCTGGCAACACAGCAAACTGAAAGCCCCATATTACATCACTGCTTCACATTGTGGGCACTGTAGCTCAGGCAATACCACTTTTCACTTTCAGCCATTTAAAGAACAATACCTGGTTGCAGAAGTCCTTCCTGCTCTGTTTCCTGCCTGTTTCACTGAGCCAAAGACACCTGGTGAAGTGCAGCCCTTTTGGGAAGCCTGGGAAACTCAGGCTTGACCCCCCAGGGGCAGTGCACTGGGAACAAGAGCTCCCAAGCCTTCATTAAATTGAAATGTTGCCACTTCCCCTCCAGCCAGCTGCATCACCTAGTCTCCAATCCGGCAGCACCTAGGCCCCTAGAGGTCATCAGCCTGTGAAAGAGAATTAGCAGTGGCAGTGTTTGCATTGGTTTGGTATGGCCAAATCCTACAAGCCTGGACCTGCCCAATGTGGACCGCCAGGAGGATGGTTTGTGAGAGAAGAAGGGAGACACAATCTGCTGCTCCCCCCAATCCCTGTGGTCCTTATTCAGCAAGCTTGTGTGTGACTCCCAGGAGGTTTCTGAATGGAGGATTTCACTATGGTAGTGCCGACATGTGTCTCACAGCAGCCCTGACACAAGGATGGTACTTTGTTGTGGCTTAGCAGTAAAATCAAGGCAGCAAGCCTCGCCTACCACCCTGGTAGCTTCCAGGCCTCACCCATTTGAGGGCTTCTAGGGCAGCTAGCTAGAGTCCAGAGAAGCTTGCCCAGAAAGGAAAAGGCTGCAGTCATCTTTGTGCTACAGCACAGAAAGCCCTGACTCCAGATCCCAGCCTGCAGCATCCCACCTCCACCAGGCTAGAAGCCATGCGCCCTTTGTATTCTCTGTAGGGTTGTAAAGCAGACACCAAGGACAATCTCACTCCTCCATGCCTGCCCCCGAAGTCCAAGAGCAAAACCCAACCTCTTGCTTTTAATTAAAATGCATCACCCCAGTTGGTGTTTTGTGATCCTGTGTGATTTCATTTCAAAGAACCATGACAGAGGAGCTGGGGATTTCAGAGGAAATGCAGGTGCCGCTTGGGTTTAGATCAGGGGTAAGCACAGGTGCCAAAGCGTGGCACTTAAAGGCATTTTGCTTGGCACATGCACCTTGGGGCAGATAGTGGGGAAGGGACCAAGGCTTCACTGCCACAACAAGGATCGAGCCCCTTGTAGCTCCCCCACCATCTGGCCCTGCGCACTAATATCTTACAAGTTGAGGCTGAAGGTATTTTTGGCACTCTGCTCAAAAATGTTGCCATCCCCTGGTTTAGATCTGCAGCTGGTAGAAATAAACACAGTGTCAGTGATTGTGAAGATGGACTGATTTGCAGAGCTGTATCATCTCTGTGTAATGGGGCTCTTTGGTGAAGTTAAATAGCAAGGGCCCAAAACCAGAATGGAAAGACCCAAGTCTCAGTCCTCTGCGTTAAATTATCCTGGTATTTAAAATGAATGCTGCTCATGCCAGTTGCATGGCAGGGCCAGATCCCAAATAAATACAGGATTTGTATCTCTTGAGACAGGCTGTGTGTGCTTTGCTATGAAACCAACTGTGCAATCAGCAGTATTTCGGTTATCTTCTGCACATGGCAGAAGAACCAGAATAGAAAGGAACAGAATAGGCCATTACCGGCAATGACAAGGAGAGCCTGAATCATCTGTACAAGCCGGTTTTACTTCTAGTACGAGAAACCAACAAACAACCTCAGAGTTCTGTGCAAATGGTTGAGCAAAATATGTTTTGTTGTGTTGAAAATGATAAAAAGAAGTTACAATAATTTACACCCAGGAGCTCTGGGGAGCATTTATATTAGAGGTGGCATGCACTGGGGAGCTAATCAGTAGCCCAAAATTAATGCCATGAGTTACCATCTGCCTAGCCCACTGGCCACCTATTGATCAGGAAATACAGCAACGCCACAGTACAGTTCCCAGTGAACTCATGATAACTAATTCTAACTGGCCGCCTCATTGGCAGTCTCAACAAAGCAACAAGGCTAGGGACAGACATTACACATAAACTGGTTTAAGTGATCAGAAACTGGCTTAAACCTGTAACAGAACAGATGTTCAGTGCACATAAATCAGTTTGAAAATGGCTGAAATCAGTTTGAGATAAACCTGGCTGAATGTAGCATCAGACTTAACTGATTTGGCTCAAACAGGTTTATGCAATGTCTGTCCCAGACCCCTTGCTAGTTTAAGATAAACTAGACTCCCCCAGCATCCTGGCATACTCTCTGAGTTGGGCAGGGCCCTCTGCTCCAAAGCAGGGCTGGCCCCTCCCCTCCCCTCTGTTCCCTGATTGGAGCTCCCGCAGAGACTGCAGGTACAGCAGGGTCTGCTTGGCTTTCCCCTGCCCTACTCCCCACCCCTCGCTGCTTGCTGGACAAGCAAGGATCCTCCCCTCCCTCTCATCTCCCACAGCACAGACCCCAGCCCCAGGAACCCCAGGCATGTGGTTTGCTAGCTAATATTGAGAGGTGTCTGTGTGCGTCTCCAGTTTCACTGGGACAGGCAGACATAACAGTGACCACTTAGGGCTTTTTGGAGCTAATCAATAGGTCAGCTATTAAGCGGTTTAAGAAGAGTTTGAATTAATGGAGAGAGGCTATTGTTTTGCTGCTGATGTGATAAACACTGTTATTGGCTCCTTGCTGGCTTGCTTGCCTGTCAGTTTGCTGCAGACTGTATAAAGAAGCAGGGAGAGGGAGATTGAAAAGCTCTGTATCATCAACAGATGCATGCACTGCATCCTCCCCCACTTGCCTCAGAGCGCTAGTAGGGGGCTGAGGTCTGGCAACACTCCTGCCCCTTGAGCAGCCAGCAGGTAAAAGCCTGGGATGGTGCAGGTAGGGTGGGGGGTTACACCCCTCCCTAATCAGAGCATCCTGCCAGGGCCTGGCCACTCCCACCCTTCTCAGCTCAGTGCTACGGAGGAAAGCACTGAGGGAAAGGAGGGCTGCTCTAGTACACCCTGGCTTCTAGCCTGAGCCACTGGAGGCATGTGCTTGAATTTCCTCAGTCCAAAGAGAATGTCTATCCAGTTACAAAACAGTTCAGCCTGGTCGGGTTAGACTAGCCTGCAAAGATTGAATCAGTTCAGGCTCAGGCTTTTTGAATGTCTGTTCATAGCCCCAATGTCTGAACGAGCCACAAAGATTCAAGGCCTGGCCAACAGCCCACTGAAGTGCATGGAAAGACTCTCGTTGATCCCTCTGGATCAGAGTAGCTGACTGCCTTACCTATTAGTGCTCCAGATCAGGGTTCAGGCTCAGTCAGACAGGTGGGATTTCTCTCCCTCTTCCCAGGCCATCCCTGATGGTCACAGGAAGAAACTGTCTATCTTCTGGGCTGCCAATTTGGCTCCCTTCATCAGCACAGCCTCAACTTCCGGTTTAAAAAAAGAAAAAGAACAGAAAAGCAGCAGGACCGTCTATCCGGCAGCCCACGATCTGCTGGGAGTTTATCACGTGGGCTGTATTTCTGGGGATGACATCATAGGTCAGAGTGCTTATAAATATACAGATACTTTGGAAGGGATAGGGGCGCACTTGGGTGCCTGCCCATTGTTAATGAACTCTAGACTCTCACATCAGGAGTTTATAATAAACCTCAGCAAAGTACCCCAAAGATGCAGGAAGGAATCAGAACTCATGGTAGAGGAGAAATCTTTTATTAGACCAACTAGATTTTTGCAAAAAATAAAATAAAATCCTTTAATTGCAAGCTTTTGGGCACAAAAACTTGTGCCCAAAAGCTTGCAAATAAAGAAATGTTTGTGCTTGAATTTTTGTGCCCGAAAGCTTGCAATTAAAGACCTTTTTTTTCCAAAAAATTAGTTGGTCTAATAAAAGATAGCACCTCTACCACAAGTTCTGATTCCTTTTGCCTCTAGACCAATATGACTACAACCTGGATACCTGACACTGTGGCTGCAGTCAGCTCTCTTGCCCACGGGGTAGTCAGTGGACAATGACTCCTTACAGTCACTACAAGCCTCATCTCCTGGCTACTCCTTTCAGATAAAAACCAGTTAGAGCTGGGAATATTATTCATAAGCATACTCACTGGATAGTATGGGTATCTCAATCTGTGTATTTGTAAAATACTCACTGGAGTAGCTTATAAATACCCGGGATAGGGGCGCACTTGGGTATTTATAACCTACTCCAGTGAGTATTTTATAAATACACAGATTGGGATACCCATACTATCCAGTGAGTATGCTATCCAGTGAGTATGCTTATGAATGCTTATGTGGCAGTCTAACGAACTCTAGATTCCCACATCAGGAGTTTATAATAAACCTCAGCAAAGTGCCCACTGCGGCTGCAGGTAGGAGTCAGAACGCATGGTAGAGGAGAAATCCTTTATTAGACCAACTAGATTTTTGCAAAAAAAATTTTAAAAAATCCTTTAATTGCAAGCTTTTGGGCACAAAAACTTGTTCCCAAAAGCTTGCAATTAAAGAAATCTTTGTGCTTGAGTTTTTGTGCCCAAAAGTTTGCAATTAAAGAAATGTTTGCGCTTCTGTTTTTGTGCCCAAAAGCTTGCAATTAAAGACTTTTTTTTTTCAAAAATCTAGTTGGTCTAATAAAAGATACTGCCTCTACCACAAATTCTGATTCCTTTTGCCTCTAGACCAATATGACTACAGCCTGGATACCTGACACTGTGACTGCAGGCCCACGGGGTAGCCAGTGGACAGTGACTCCTTGCAGTCACTACAAGCCTCATCTCCTGGCTACTCCTTTCAGATAAAAAACAGTTAGAGCTGGGAATATCATTCATAAGCATACTCACTGGATAGTATGGGGTAGTTTCCTCTCAAGTGATTAACAACAACAACAATAATATACACCAGCTCCTGCTGCAAGTGTTTTTGAATATCATTCCCTTTTCAAACCCACACTGATGTTCATGGACAACTTTTGCACTGTTGGTGCCTTCCTGAAATCAAAGCATCATAAGGATTATAACATAATGAGCCAGCACCTTACATCACAACCCTTAGAATCTGTGGTCTGTTATTATGACCGGGATTGTGAGCAGGACTTCACACTTCTGGGTTTGGAGGTAAACCAGAGGATTCCACAGTTTACATTTCCCCTTAGGCTACATAACCTATAGCACCTATGACTAGGACAGTTGTTGTATGCGTATAGTAAGCCTTGCACCATTAGAGAATAAAGATCGTCATTTTGAAAACTAGGCTTGCAGTCACGATGCCCAATAAGCATGTATGTATGTATGTTTATTCGCAACTATTATCAAGGATAACTGCACATCCTAGTGCTCCTGCAATTGTAACACTAATGTGGTAATGCAAGCAAACATCCCTAGGTATCAGAGGTATTCAATTATTATTGACTTTAACTAGCAGGAACAGAATTTGCTGTGCACTATTAAAGGCTGTTTGATGGCACTAATGAAACATTTCTAGAAAGCACTCTGAAGTTTTCGAATTTGTAGTAATCAACCTTGAACACCTCTCACCAAGAGACCACAAAGGGCTTTGCAAATACTAATTTAGCTTCATAAACACTCCCTAAAGAAAGTCAGTTTTATTGGACTGAACATGCAAGTGGGTTAACTATGACACCCAGGAAGATAAAAGCCTCCCCTAAATTAACAAAGCAACTTTCCAGTAAAGTCAGAGTCCAAATGAAGTGAGTCTCATTTGCCTAGGTAGTTATACTGGCCCTTGCACATGTGCGCGCGCGCGCGCGCACACACACATACACACACACACACACACACACACTCTCTCTCCCTCCCCTCTTTTCCAGTAGCAGTAGTTCCCAGAGTAGCTGGGCAATCCTCAGCAGTGTCACATGATGGTGCACTGAAGGTGTCCCTTCACTGAAGATATTCCCCTTACTAGTTCTGTCCTGGATCCATTTGGATCCAGCATGTTGCAGTTTGAGTACCAGGCTTCCACACTGCCCACCAGCATGAGCGATTCCCCACAGAAATGGGCGCGCGCTCGGTTTTTGGCGGGGCCTGGCACAAGTCCAGTCGCAGAGAGCCTTAAGAGCCTGCGTGGACTTATAGCTGTTCATTTTGATCTGGGGTAAATCCAGGGGGACCTGGTCACATTCACAAACCGAGGCAGAGGTTCAAAGAGCACTAGCCTTATTGCTGTGCCCTTTTTGTAGATCCAGCTCCCAGAAGCTCATCAGCAGGGAGCCAGCATTTTCTGCAGCCACAAGGCTGCAGCCATCTTGGACTCGTGCTGCCTTACACCGCATGGAGCCATGCTGCATAATCACCCAGCCTCCCTGACTTTCCTTTTTCCCCTCAGACACTGCATCCAGCTTCTCTCCACTTCCTAACGCCTCCCCAGCAAAGACAGGATCCAGGTCACCTCTCCCCTGCCTTTTGTAAGTGTCCCCTCTTCTATCAGCTAAGGTTTGTCACCTACTATTCAGAGCCAAAAAACTTCCTGCTTTCTTGGTCTCAAAATACTGAATCTGGAAGCAGCAGCATCCAAACGGAGCAGTCTGTTGTTCTGAGTACACCCTTATGGCTCAGGGACTCCTCTGACCATCCCCTTTCATGCTATGTTTGCCCTGAGTCATCTGGAGAGTCAACGGCTGAAAATATGACTGATAAACTATCACGTAATGTAAAATGAAAGCAACCCCGGACATCCTCACACAACTAAATCCCTGGTACCCATTTCCACATTTGTGCCTTGTCTGTAGGACAGAATATCCACAGAGGAGTTTCTGGGTGAGTTTATCAGAGCAACAGAGGGCTGGTTTAGCCACAAAGGAATCGGTTTGCTAAAATCTCATTCTCTCCTCCCCCTTCCCAACCTCCATATACAAAAGAGAAAGAAACTTGTACAAGAAAAGAACTGGGGCTCCAGCTTTCAGGGAAGCCTTACCCCAGCTCCATGCTGCTGGTCTTGGTCCAAGGGGGTCTTGGTCCAAGGGGGTTTAGCAATTTCAGGAACAAGCTGCACGTTTTCTTTCAGCAGAGAGCTACCAACAGCACCCGGTGTCTTGTGGTCATGATGGGTGACACCAGCCCTAACCATGTGGGTGGACTCATTTCGAAAAGAAAAAAAAAAACCGAATCTGAAGATTTTAAGGACGTTTTCTGGAGTTCCCTGTGTCTTTCAAAAGCTTGATCAGCGAATCCAAAGCCAGGCTTGTGCCTCTTCACAGCTCAGGGCTCCCACTGCAACCTGTATAGTGCAAAGAAGTGCTTGGTCTGTTAATATTATTGACACACTTGTTCACTGATTCTTGCACTTGCTGTGAAGGCATTTGCAGAGAGCCTGTGATTGAACAGTGACAATAATACCTTGATGGCCTGGAATGAAAGATTTTAGAAACCAGTATTTGCTTTATGCATAACAGCATCACCAGAACCTTGCAGCTCTATTAATGGCAGTATACCATATCTTTAATGAGGCATAACAAGGAACAATCAAAATTAAGATCAGAAGTATTTAGGCTGGGGAAGGAAATGTCTGTACAAACAAGATTTTAAAATGTCCTGGGAAGAGAAAAAAATCCCGATGGAAATAAGAGACCCCACTGCAGGAGCTAGTTAAAAGTGGACTGGGAAGAACCGTAAGAAGATAATCCTCTGTTGTCAGGTAGACTAGACAGGTCCAGTGGGTATAAAGGGAAGGTTATAGCACAAAGAAGAGGGGTAGAAGTGACTAACCCCAGGCTCAACATACTGTCAGGGACAGAGCCAGGAAGAGAAGCTACTTATCCAGATCCCCAGTCCTTATCTCTGGGTCACCCTGCATCTGAGACCACCCAGCAAGGGGGATGGGTATATTCCTGGCAGGGTATGAACATGCACCTGTACTATGGGGCACCTGACAGACTTTGCCTGAGGCTGGGCTGCAGTGGAGTGGGTATGGTTAGTGCTCATTGACAGTAGGCATCTCAATGTCTATATATCTCCTTTACACTTTTATTGGAACCAAGCCTTTAGATTCACTCATCAGCACTCTCCAGTGTTTAGTGTCAAAAGGGAAACCACACTGTGCTGATTAGAAGCTACTGAGATTTTCACACCTAAATCACTGGCTTGAATCCCCCTACCTGGGCAATAATGGTCAAAGGCTGCAACTGTCTGAGGGCTGGTAGGTGGCCTGTCTTCTCCATCCCTGCCTAGGTGGCAGTTACACCAGGAAAACTGCTGTGCCACCTACCCCTTCTTGACAATGGCAGGTTCACTCTCCAGGTCCTCTTGACAAGGACTGGAGAAAGTTAAACTCTTGCCTCGCTCTGCAAGGTGAAGCCTGCAAGGCAAGACTTGGGTTCACTTGCAGGAGAAGCCCAGGCTGTGCCGGTTCTCTGCCTGCAGTAAGGACTTTGGTCAGCCCTGAACCAAAGTCACTTGACCAGTGAAGGATTATGTCCCTCAAGGAGACTAGTGTTTGGATGTCCCATAGTGGGAAATTTCCTGCAGCTGAGACAACTTTGGCTGAAGCCCCAGTCTGGGGATCCCTGAATTTCAGAGAAATTTGGCCCTGGAGCTCAACTGTGCGTCTTAAGACCCAGCTCCACAGACTGAAGCTGCCCCTGCTTGGGGAATATCGCAGTGAGAGATCCCCTTTCTGCTGCAAGTCTTTGCACCCTCCACGTCACAATGAAAGTGAAGAGTTTCAATTGCCATGTAACTCACTTGAACGCCCTTAAGTGACTACAGGCTGTGTGGCTGACAAACGGATACTACATACTGCAGCCTCCCCTCTGAGCACTGTGGTGGTTGGGAGATCTTCTGCCAACAAAGGCACAGAACGGGTTTGCTTCAGGCACTAAGGAAAGCAAAGAACTGAGTGTGCACCTCCTGGGTCTTGAGTTGCTGCAGCCCAGTGCCACTATGGTTTTGCTGAAATTTTCATTCAACATGGAGGCTGCCTCACTATAACCCCATTCTCAAACTAATCCTCCCTCCCACCGACCACAGCTTTTTCTGCTATCCTTCCCTTTGCTAGTTAAAGTTTGGCAATAAATTCCCAGAGTGAAAGACTTAGAAATACCCAGACTCAGAAAAAGCAAATCTTGTTTTAGGGTGCCTCAATGCAGCATATTCCCCTAGCTGGTAAATATAGTTTCCCGCTTACGCGGGGGCACTGGATCCTAACACACAGTTTGTTGAAATCGGCTTGGTTTGTACTGTGGATTTGACGTCCATATTGTCTGCCAGGGAGGTTTCTAAAGAAACTGTTTGGAAATGCTTAGTCTCTTGGATTTAACTCCCATTGTTGCAACTTTTGGTTATGCCATGAACTCCAGGTAAACCTGAAAGATACCTTCATCAGCAATGAGCTCTCTTACCCCAACTTAGCAAGTACCATAACAATCCAAAACCTGCATTGGATAGTATTAATGGCCAGCTAAGAGAGAGAACTGGCTGGCATCTCAGGAAAGTACAGAAGCAGAATCTGCACAGACCCAGCCACAGTGCATTAAAGGATTAATGCCAGTTTTGTTTTTTTCCAGGAGATGCCAAAGAGTGGTGAGTTTAAGTTAATACTCCAAGCGGTCTCCCCCTGAATGCTGGGTGTAGCAGTTGGTAGGAGTCTCAGACCATTTTTTCTGCTGACGTTACAAATCTCATATATTGTGTTGAACACGGTAAAACACACCAAAGACAGTGTGCTCTTCTGCTGCTGTGACTTCAGGTCCAAATCTTGTTCAGAAAGAATATCTAGTCACGGGTGCTACTTATCTTGCAGCCGCCTCCACGGGAACACACCTGAGCAGGCCTCTCAAGTATATTGGTGATGTGTTTTTATTCCAAAGGCCTTCTGCTGTCCCTCTGCACCTGGGGCACAATCTACGTCCTTCTACCTGCTGTGATCCGCACAACTTTGCCCATCATGTATCAATAAGAACCTCCTTCATCTACAATTGTTTTTCCTAACTGGTGCTAAAGGGTTCCCCATTCTCCATTGCCTTGTGTGTTGTGTTGTCAAGCAAGTGCAAGAGAGATGTGATGTGCTCTGCTTTGGTCACATTCCACCACTCCGACCTGGTAGCATTTTATCTTCGCTTTACACAGATGGAAACACAAAATATGGCACAGCAGAGAAAAGGACCCAGTGGTTACCTAACACTCCCAAGACCTAATGATCATTGGCAAGCCCGAGAGGACCTCATGCACAAACCGGTCATATGTCCTCCATACATCAGTATCACTGAGGCAATGATTAAAAAATAACTGGGAGGTTCCCTTCCCGGGGGAGTGCTGTCTACTGGTTAGAATGGAAGACTGGTGGCAGGACTCCTGGGTCCTGCTGCCAGCTCACCTTCTCAGTTGTGAAATAGCCTTGAAGTGACATGACCCTACATCAAATTAGGTATCTCCCTCTCCCCATCTGAAGATAGGAACAATGATATGGTTAAGTTAATATTTGCAAAGGGCTTAGAGAATCTGACATGCAGCAGCACATGAGTGTTATCAGTAGCCTGTCTCATTCAATTCTCACCCAGAACATGAAGCTTGAGTATGCTGACAAGAGATACTACTACTAACCTTCTGCCAAGCCCACAAGGATCAAAAAGTCTCTGTTACTGCCCAGTAGGTCATAAGCGATTTTCCCTGTCAATGTTTCCCACAACAGGGACGCAAGGTCTTTTCAGTGGATCCCCTTAGCTTGCTGATCTCAAGTTTTACTCAAGCACAGCCATGTTCCATGAAAGGGACAACAGTGTCCAATTTATAGCACTTCCCAAGCAAGTCAGCTGTGCAGGACTGTAAGAGAGGGAATGGTGCCCTTGTTTAAAGAATGGAGAAGTGTGTAACCCTGGTGCCTGTTGTAATTTGAGAAATCCTTCATCTCACGATGGGAGAACAGAACAAATTAAAGTAGCCCAGAAAGGAGCCCCACCAGGTGACTCACGGTAATGAGTGACCAAAAGAGATTAGATAGGTTAGGTGGAAAGCCTCCCTGATGTGTAGCAAGACAAGGAGGTAGAAAAGGCATCTCTAGTAGCCCTGTGGTTAGACTAAAAGTAACTCCCCTACCTTAGCTCTGACAGCTAAAGCCCAGCTCAGGGTATAAGTATGACTCCACTGAAGTCTGCAGTAGTCTGACGTGAGCAGCAGCATACTCTGGCCCTGAGTAGGGGAACACATCACCAGACATTCAGTTACCCTGGCACAGGCTTTTAATACAAAGCTTTGTCACTATTTTTCTCTACCAGTGCTTCTATTTTGGATCAATGGCACTCTGGATCAAGCTATCCAAGACATTTAGTGCAAAGCAGCAACAAATCCTCTTCCAGATGCTATGTCAAGAAATCCAGAGAGGGTTTCTGCTGAACAGGTCCCACCAAAAGCAAGAGGTTTCTTTTTTAAAGGCCCCCTACCTGCTGTGTAGCCCCAAGTGTTTCGAGTTCTCCTAGAGATCTCCCGTGGACAGGAGCGGCCTGGTAGTGAAAACCTACGTTATTTACTGCACTACAAACAAGTAGCGTCTTGGTCGCCTAGGCGATGACATTGGAGCTGTTGAAAGCTATGTGAAAAGTGTGGCAAAGGCTTGCGCTCTCCTTCCTGGAATACAAGGCAGTTACAAGGGGGTGGGGAACACTCAGCCGGCAATGCCTGGAAATTAAGATGGTCACTACAGCTAAGTGGCTTGCCAAACTGGCTGGCTCATCCAGGACTCCAGAAAACACTGAATGGCTGATGGCACAGCCCCCTGGTAAATAGTTATGGAGGGAGTCTACCTGTCTTATTAGTATTAAATCATGGTTGAATACGGCAGAGACATAACACACATCCCATTGTGCAAATGAGGCTGTTAATCAAATCTGAAAGTAGTGCGGTTGTTGGGTTCATCCTTCTTGGTGCTCACATGGAATGGTTTTCCCACCCCTCCTGAAGAATGAGAAGAGGTGATGGGGACAGACTAGCTTAGTGACCAGGCAGAGAAGTCGTACTTCTTCCACATACTTGCATATAGTAATTTCACGGGTACTGACAAACAAAACCGCTCTTTTAACACTCACAAAGGGATGAAATTATACCCAGAAGATAGGGAGTTAGAGAAGTCACAATAAAGAATTTCTTTCTCCCCTCAGGCCTTCGCTGAACAGAATAATATATCTTGGGCATGTGGACCCTAGTAACATTTGAATAGGTATGGGGAAAATTGATCCACCAAGATGTGTGGAGAGCAGCAGTGGGTAAAGAACATGCTTGAAACTTGGGTCACTCTTGTTAGAAACAGTATGTATGTTGAACTGTGATCAATCAAGGATGCATTAATTAGACCTGAAATGTAGTATTAATTTTAATATAGATTAGCCAATCTTATCTCCCTGTCTTTAAGACCAAATTTATCTATTGCCTATTTCGGAACGTATTTCTCAGAATCTCAAGAATTTCCCATTTAATACAATTAGCTTCTTGTTTACGAATATACTTCATTTGTAGTTTGCAATCTTACTGTAATAGCTGGGGGAAACCTTCACAACTGGATGTCTCTTCTCTCATTACTATCAATAATTAGTCAGGAAGCTGCCTGTGATCAGAAATTAAGAATCGGGAAGCAAGTCAGAACATGCTTTCTTTAAAAAAGAAAAAAAAATTAGAGGGGACATTTCTAATTATGATAAGGTTTTGTTGACATTTGTAGACTGTAGGGAATGAAGAATGTGAAAGTAGGAATGAGAAAATTGGTGTCTAATCACAGTGTTGCATATCACATCTCATTAAATGGCGTGCTGGTTGCATACTCTATTTGCATAATAATTATTAGCATCATTTCTGTTCCTGATCATCATTTACTTTACCCATAAATTGTTTCTAAAAGCAGTACATTTTCAGTAACTCCCCATGCACCAGTACATGATGTAAACTCCTCCTCTTTACTGTATTTTATATACAAGAAGTAACGTTTTAAGTTAAAGACATTCTCTACATGACAGTGAGCTCATGTAAAAGGGCAGAATGGCTTTGTGGTTGAACTAGGCTTTATGAGATCTGGGTCCAGTTGCAACACTGCCACAGACTATCTACATGATCCTAGGCAGGTTGCTTAGGGCCAAGATTTTAAAGGTACTTTGCCATATTAGGGCGTTTTGAAAATCCCAATAGTTGTGTATTTGTGCCTTTAGATGTCTAAATACCTTTAGAAATGCCTAGCCCTGCAGATTCTAATTCATGTAAATGAAACTCTGAACTTTCTGTTGCGTATATGCATTAATGTGTCTGTGTATTGCTAAATTCAAAATCTGAACTGAAAAGTTTTTTTTAAAAAGTATCTCAGTATGGGTGTATCCATACAAGGAGGAAGATAACCTCCTGTACTGATAAAAGGTACTTTATGTTGCCTTACCACTTGTACATTTTGGGTTGTGCCATGTAACTGTACCAGTAAAACCAAAACACTTCTACCAAGAGAAAAATCCTGCACAGACTAGGCCTAAGTGAAATTTGGCTTTGAGAGGCTGAGGTAGGACTGCGCTTTGCTGAACCAAGCTCACAGGTGACTGAAACACTGGCTGAAGCCCTAAATGAAAGAACATCTGTCCAATTACACAGAGAAGTTCCCCCAGAGAGGGGCTCCCCAGGGAGTCTTACTGCAGAGAGTACCAGCAGATGGTTAATTAAACACCCCACAGCTGGCAAAGGCAATAAAGTGAATTGAATCTCCAGCTGGCACTTGGCAGGAAGCATGTTGTTCTTTGATGCTGGCAGTATGACAGGATTTCAGAGAGGGAAAACACACCAGACCAGGCGGGGAAACTCCTCAATCATTAACCATTTTGTGGAATCAGTGTACAGGTCATGTTCTAAAGCGACTGTGTTCTTGTTAGTAACAATACACTTATAATTTGTGTCGAAACAATGATGCCCCCCCACCCAAGGGCTTTAGTTATCAAAAACTGGCCTTTCTATAACACCTTTCATCAGAGGATCTCAAAGCATTTAACAAATATTAATGAAGACTCAACAAGTGTCCATTATATCCATTCTCCACGGGAAAATTAACACACAGGGAAGTTTGACTGACTCAATATTAGGACTGGAGATAAAATCCAGAACTTGTGCCCCAAGTGCTAGGAATGAGAAAAACACCAAACGTTCCATCCAGGCAGGAGTTATTTGCCAATTATGAAGCATGGAAGTGGTTCTTAACACCATGCATTGGGTCTGCTCCATTGACATGGCAGCTTTCATTTTGGACTGACCTGGTTTTCTGTTTAGAAACCCATTCAAGAGCTGCTTTGAGGTACACAATCTACAAGATAAAGGACTTGCATTATAGTACCTCCCTTTCATATCTCCTCCAGAATGAGGAACAAGAGCATTGTATCTTTGATGCTTCTGGGGGGAGAAAACCTACAGAAGTAAAAAAACCTGTATGCATCATATTGCTCTGGTAGGTGATCTTTTTAAGATCCGTTAAAATAATTCTGATTAAATGTATTTAAAAGCACTTTTCCATTGAAGTAATTTATACAAATAGATAGAACAACGCCCTCTCAATTCACTTTTTGTTCTTATAGACAGGATTTGTGATAAGGAAAAAAAATCCACCCCCCTGTTCCCTCTTTGAATGAATCAAAAGTACTTAGGTAACATGAACATTTCAAAGTTAGGAAGAGGCAGGACTGTGTTTCCAAGTGATGTGACTGCTTATGGTACACTGCATTGCAAAATAAAGTTTGAAGTCTACTGAGCATTCTCAAGCCATTTGTATACTCCTGTGCTTGGATAATTCTCAAGAGAAGAGTTCTCTTTTTAAAAATGTTCCATTAAATTTTGTAGCTTGGCTTCCCCACCTGTGTAATCTTCCTAGCTGGTTATACCAGCATCCATGGTAACCACCATAGTAACAGAGTTCAGCTCACTCCTGCAGGGTCGCTAACATGCTCTCTCAGGATTAGAGAGACCAGATCTGGCACAGAGGGCCATATTCATCTCAATTAAAATGGTGTAAAGGTTGAGTAATCCCAATGAAGTACATGGGCCAAATTTTGCTCTTTGTTTTACCAATGTAAGTCAGAAGAAGCTTCATGAAAGCCAACACGCACCAAATTTTGCTCTCATTCACTCTTGTGTCATTTCAGATGAGCTCAATTTTTGTCACTCTGTTGGCTTTTTCCTATTTGACTAATAGGAGAAAATGCCAAATCCAGATACTGCAGTGGTGCTGGCCATCTGAGAACCTACACAGATAAGGTCACTCCAGCGTTACACCTAACTGAGTAAGAGCGGAGTCTGGTCTCCCCACTGCACAAGTCAGTAAGTAGAACATCTTTTGGGTAAAGGAGGATTAGTTTCTTGTTTCATGGCACAGTGATTTTGTTCTTCACTTCCAATATAGCCTTTATTTAAAAATTTGCAGACTGCATTTAAAAAAACTTGCAACATTAATATATGTTTACAGCCTATGAAACTGATAGTAAATTCTCATCCCTTAACCCAGTAGCAGACCCCCACAACATCAGTCCTTTGACTGTCTTTGGAGGATGCCAAACCAAATCTGGGGGAAGTCATGGGGTGGATGCCTCCCTTCTACTCCTCCTTGTACTTCCAAGAAAAGGAGGGCAAAAGCAGCAGGAACCCTAAGCACAATGTGATTACAAACAGAGCCAGACCTTTTCTGCCTTATTCTAGCTTTCCACTCTTATCCCCACTGACTTTACCCAAGCCAGTCCTAATTAGCTACAGCAGTCAGAGTGTGAATCAGGCCCATTGTTTTTGATTTCAGTCACCAACAACCCAAGCACCAAGTTGCAAACCACAGCCTAGGAGGGTTGTCGTACCCATCTCACTTCTGTCATTTAGGTCACCATTCCAGCACCTGACTGACATCTAGACTGAAACAAAAACTCGAAAGCCCTAAACCAGAGGCAACTCAACCTCAGGCACTTGCTCACCATCATTTTGATTAGTCTTTTTTTTTTTTTCTTCGAAGCTACAGGGTACTTGGCCACATAGTACCTCTTCCCTGTTTCCTCGTGTAGAATAAGGGCACTGTTCTGGGGAGAGAAAAATCTCCGTATTTTCTGGGCTGGCCTGGCCAAACAAAGTTTGAGCTGAAAAGCAAACACTGAAATTAATCTGCCTTGGAAATACCTTTTAAGACTTTAGCAAGGCAGGGAGATGAAGGTGTAAGAAAAGGAGGCCAGGACAGTTTGACCAAGCAGGAGGAGAGAGAGCGTTTTGAAGCATTACCCCAGCTCTTCCCACCCTGGAAAGTTTCCTCTCCCAGGTCATCAGTTTTGCCCGATCTAAAAGACTATGAATACAGGAGGAGGACTCACTCCTGGGGACAGCGATCCAAGCGCTCCTTGCCAGGCAGGGCTAACGGCCCCCTCCCCAAGCGAAGAGGAGACCAGAGCCCCTGCGGGATGCTTCATGCAGCCCAGCCTGACCAGCCACTGGGGCGTCCGAGCCCCTCCATCCCTCCGGCTGCCTTGCCTGGGCCCTGCCAGGAG